GACATAGAGGCGTCCCGCGCAGACATAGCTGCGGGGCGGGCAAAAGCCGCTTTCTTTTTGCCTCACCAGCCATAAACCTCACTGCACGTCACTGCTACAAAGAGTTACCTCTTTATTCCATATCTCATTCCCCCTCTATAAGCAAATTCATAAATATAAACTTTTCATTCCAGGTGTCAACAAAAAGTCCATAAAGAGTTATTCTAGGATTTGATTTCTCTTCAATTCTTCATCCCATCACACAGATTCTTCATGACTTTAATAGGCCTCTTTTGTAGATTCAATAATAAAACATTTTCCAGAGTATTTTCTTGGTTTATCATTTATGGTTGCTTTTTAAATTTAAAATTCAAAACTTTTACAAAGTTTCTTTGGGATATTCTTTTCTAAATGATTCTTTTTGCATGCCATTTATAGTTTCAATATTGTTTTGTCAGATAAAATATGTTCCATATCTTTTATTTTTTCACTGACATCTTTTAGACATAGTCTATCCATAAAAGCAGACATCATTACTGGAACTACTGTATTGTAGTTATTAATGTCTGGCTCTATTCTTCAAATATTTTCTTTAATATTACTGATTATAATGTTATGTGTCATTTTGTCATATGTGTTTTTAAGTCCCAATATTAACTGACATGAAGCACAGGCTTGTATTTTTTTTCTTCTGCTTAGACCTTAGAATCTTTGGTCTCCTCTAGTCTCAAGTTTCTAAAATCATCATTTCTCTTTGTTATGACCCAGGGGAGCCAAAATTTTACAATAAAAGTAAATATTCCAAATTTATCTGAACTTTTAATCCATTTACAACTTTCAGATTAAAATTTTAACTTTTTACTAAATTATTTAAGCTATTAAGCTTTAAATTAATTTTCTTTGTTGAATACACCCTATCAATATTTATAAAAGTTGTTGTTCTGACAGTCTCTAATAGCTTTAAAATGGCAATTTCCAAAAGCAATTAGAAAGTTCCACAAAATGAAACAACTTACCTTACTATCTGGAATATCCTGACTTAGCTGCAATGAAAACAGGGAGGTGTCCTGGTAATGTACATATAGAAAGAATACATCCAGAGAATTATTTAAGCATTAGCATTTAAAAACCTATTAAAATTATGTACAATATGACAAGACCATTCCCCAAAACATACAATTTTAACTTTGTGTCCTTAATTAATGTAATATTTCCACAACATTTGAAAATTGACATCATTTTTTCATAGTTCTTAGTGAGTTAAGCACTTAAGAATCTAAGGACTGAGATTTGCAAAAACATTCCTTTTAGAAACAAACTGACATTGTAATGAAATGAGGCACTCTGAATTATTACTATAAAGCTTGTTGGTGGACATTAAAACTTTTATGTTATATTTTCTTGTTAAACAGCAGATTTGATTCAATGTCATTCATTATTAAAGTATTTTTATATTAACATTTTTGGGTAGTACTTTGAGTTGCTTTTTCATTTATAAGGAATCTATTAAATGTAAAACTGGATTTCATATGTCATTGATTTCAGTACAGGTAGTCCTTGTCTTATGATTTATCACTCAGTGACTATCTAAAGTTACAATAGATCTCCCCAGGACTACTTACGATCCAGATTTGAACATCCAATGACCAACTTTTCCTATGGTCACATGATCATATTTTGAGTGCCTGGCCTGAATTTATGGCCATTTGCCATATCCTGCAATCATGTGACCACAATTTTCATTTATTTTTATGGAAACTAGTGTTTCTATCAAAAAAGGTTTCCAGCAAAAAAAAATCCCATTGCAGACACTATATTTTGTTAACAATTATGTTCGTTTAACAACAGGAACATTTACTTTATGACTGCCATGTTCAATTCATGACTACCATGCTCATTTAATGACTGCTAAAAAAAAGTTGTACAAACATGCATGGTCATGTGGTCACTCATTTAATGATTGGCATGTTATAACTGTAATTCCAGGCTCAATTATGATCATGTCATAATTATTGTAGAGTCTGCATATGATCCTAGGCTAAGTATTGCAGTTTTTGTACATTTTATGAATAATGTTATGCACAATAGCAGCTGCCTGGTTTGCACAATTTGATATACTATACATTATTTATTTACAGCATTAAATTTAAAGATGTAATACACAGCTTAAAAAGCAACAAGATGGCCAAACCTTTGTTTAACAAGACGCCAAACTCCACAACAACTTTCAGCTTGACTGTGATAGCCAACTAATTCACATTAACTTAACAAAAAACAGTAGTGTTAAAATGGTGGAACACATTAAATATATGTATTTCCAATGTTTTTATGGAAACAAATTTAAAGCAAAGTTTTAAAAAATTCAACCATATCAGATATTTGGATTTGATATGAGCATTTGCAATGATCCTAAATGATATTTCCTTAAAGAATGGTACCTTTTCCTGAATCAGCATGGTAGCCATGCAGACTCAGAGCAATAGATATTTAAGACAGTGGCATGAAGGCTGCTCTATTGTCTTTTAACCCAGATGATTTTTTTGAGACTTGTGTAAGTACAGGAAAAGGCATAGGCTTAATGAGCTTCAAACAGTTGCAGTAAGGGAGTCTACTTTAGATCCAAAGTCTGTACACTTCTAAACTAATGACATACTGACATCTGGATATGCATTGAATTTGCCATTATATTGTGGAGTTGATAACCCACTGCTTTATGATGAAATTGGCCTACAACTCCATCATCTTTAGATCCCAGTTTCTGGAATTAGGGAGGCACTGTTTTCAGTATTTTCCTTTCTCTAAGCTGGTTCCAGTCAGTATTATGGGGGAGAGATCAAATCCTTTGACCTTGCACTGTGGGTTGTCTCAGGTCTTTCACCTCTCTTTTTTAACATTTACATGAAATTACTGAATGAAGTCACTTGATGACATAGGATACATATCTCCATTCCTGGTAGGGCATAGGATTCTACCACAGTGCTGACCAAGTGCTTGGAATCTGTGTGGGTCTGGATAGGGAGAAACTAACATCAACTCAACCCTGAAAAGATAGAATGTCTTTGGGGTAGTTTCCTCTCAGGGTTTGGTGATATTCATGTTTTATTCTGATGGGGTAGCACTTTCGTGGACTGACCTTGCGTGCAATTTGAGGGTCCTCCTGCATGCATGGGTCCTGATCAATAAGCAGTTGGCAGCCATGACTGGAAAAGGCTTTGCATAGATTCATCTTGAGTGCAAATTGTATCCTTTCATGGACTGGGAAGCCTTACTTACTGTTACTTATACTTAAGTAATTTCCTTTTTGTGTTACTTCAAAACATTTACATTGGGCTGCCCTTGATGAGGGCAGCCCAAGAGCTGCAACTAATCCAGAACATGGAATCACATAGTGCTGGAAGCTTCAAGATTTGCCCATGTGTTGCCCAAGTGGCACTGGCTGTCAATTTTGTTGTAGGTAAAATTAAAAACCCTGGTATCATGTTTATAGCCCTACATGGCATAGGAACAGACTGATTGTGAGATGGCTTTACTCTCTGACAATATCTGCCAGATAAAATAGGATAAGCATGCTCCAAGTCTGTTCCCTGAAATGTTGCTATCTAAGAGGACTTCAGAAAGGTGCTTTACCATGGCTTCCCCCTACTTTATAGTGCACCTCCTTTCCAGTGATCCAGCAGGCATCAACCCTTTTAATCTTCTTGGAGGTCATCAAGACCTGACTTTTTACTCTGGGATAAAGTAAGGATGCCTTGGGTAGATTGTTGAAACATCCAAAGGCAATGACTGAGGTGCTAAGTTTTTGTTTTATTTTTTTTAATGGATCTACGATTTTATTGTTGTTGTGAGCTCCCAGAAGAATGGCTATAAAAATATTTTAACTAAATAGATTTATAAATAATATAAAGTTATTCCTTACCTGTGCAAATCCATTAAAAGCATTGCTTGATGCCTAGGCCAAATTAGAAATTAGAAGACAGATTTTAATATCAAAATCTTATTTGTATATGGCCCAAACATATACACCTTTTAAAGTGAAGGGAAATAATGACAATAAAATAAAAAATAAAAAGAAAGCACAGTGATACACTTTGATAATTAGAAGAGATGCCAGCAATATAAACTATCTAAAAGCAAAATTCTAAAATAAGATGTGGTACAAAATAAGATGGCATATTCAATAGTCAACCTTTTTGTGGTCAACCTAGCATAATTATATAGTTGAATTGTGCCATGAACACATGACTACATAGATTAGCAAAGGAAAGATAAGGAGGACTATTCATAAAATTCATATTTTATTTAAAGATAAATATCACCTAGGTAATCTCTCTTTTCTAAACTATGCTATATAATAGGGTAGGTACCTCTTCTTTATCAGCCTCAGTTTCTTGATATAACAATCCATATCTCCGGTTAGCAATTTCATCTTCAGATAAATCTGAGCTGATGGTCTCATTTTCTTTGGGGCTAGTGAAGTTTTCAATGCTAGCCTTTCCAGAGTTTCCCATTTGGAACAGAATCAATGGCCTACTTATGTTGTTTGATCCACAGGTGCTAATGTTTGACTCTTCCCCAGTTGATCCTTGTAAAGATGCTTCCTGATTCTGCTGACTCATCATTACACATGAAGTTCCCCAGCTATTGTTTAATTCTCCTAAATCTTGCATAAAACCTGGCCATAGGTTGTCCAAGTTTCCATCTAGAGAGTCTTGTGTGGGAGGAAAGGGACAGGAATCATAGCTAATTGGCTGGCTAGAAAACCCCCAGGAATCAGAACTAAATGTAGGATTCCAGCTGTCATCCCAAGGTTCTGTCTCCAATACTTGAGGTAAACTAATGTTAGGTTCTTCAGGCACACAAAACATTTCCCTATCTGCCAGTTCACCTTCCATATTCTCTAACTTAGAACTACTGAAATAGGCATTAGTTGGATTCTCAAGCCCATGCTGCACAGTCATATCCTTGTCAAGGAATATACAAGTAGCTCTATATTCAATATCTTTACTCTCTTGAGAGATATTGAGGCCACAGTCTTCATATTTTTTGCAAATCTCTTCTGCCTCTTTTGCTTCAAAATCATACCCAAGATTTCCAAACTCTGAAGAAAAAATGTCTTTGACTTGGAGATTAACAGTTCCTATAATATTTGCCATATCACTTTCCTGTGTGCATTTTATGCCCCCATTACCCTCACATGTTTCTTCAGGATCCTGACACAGGGAACATAAAGCATTCTGCATTTCAAGTCTATTATGTTCTAGAGCTGTAGAGCTGCTCATGTTCTTGAAATCTCTTCCAACTGTCTCCTTAAACATATTAGCTTTATTAAAGTCTACATCACATTTTTGGGGACAACTATCAGTAATTGTTTCTCGTTGCCAATTTGTACATTCTAAAACTTGTCTAATTTCTACTTCAGTCTTTTTTACAGCTTCATTATTGGGATGTTCTAAGACCTTAAGACATTCAATTTCATTGAAGGACTCCTTGAGCTTAGGACCTCTGGTGTCTACCTTTTCACATGGATCTGTATTTGTCCAGAAAGAGTCTTCTAAGCCCGGATTTGCTTCTTTTGTCATTTCCACACTAAATGGCTCTCCACCAGAAAAACTGTCAGTTTTCACTGAAGACTTCTCAGCCAAAGTTTCACTCACTAAAAGCTGGTTGTTCTCCACCAGATCAGTGCCATCATCTCCGCTATGACTAATGTCCAGGCAGGGTCTTAGAAAAGTGGTTTCACGTTCATTTGCATAAGCTGTCCATGATGTGCCATCCTCATGCTTGCCTACAGCAGGCAAAGTAGGAGTAGCTAGCATATCAGATGATTCTGCTGAGCTTTCCTCTGCCTGAAGAAAAGGCATAGGACCACCAGCAGTTCTTTCCTGGCCCACACTGGCTGTCTTCTTGAGGGAATCTGCATCTAGGCTCACATTGAGTGAACCTAAATTAGTTTGGGGCTTGCTAAAATCTTCTGTTGACCCACTGTCTGGATTTTCCTCCATGACCAGGTTACATAGGGAATGACTTTTTGGAGAGTCAGGCTTTAAATAGGTAAGAAAGTAAAGAAAAAAACAAGATGAGCATGATAAAGGTTAGGGAGAAAAAATACAGAACTCAAAATCAACTGAAACAATTAAGGAATTTATACAATTTACAATATCTGTAAGGGAAATCTACATTTGAAGAAGGCAACTACTTACCGGCTGCCCCACCTCATTATTGCTCTGTGAGGAAAGAAAATATTAAAAAGAAAAAATCAGAGAAAATGGAGAGGATATTTCACCATGTTACTGAAAAGAAACATGTCAAATAAACCTAAAAACTCAAGGGTTCCTTTATGAACACCAACTAGCAATCAGAAGACACAATGAAAATGCCTTAATTTCACAACAGATGAACAGACTTAACCATAGTTTCAGCTGGGAAACTGTGAGCACCCTAGATCAATCCAAATCCAAAAATGCTCAGAAATTCCTAGAAGCTTGGCAACTCAAAGAAATCAGTCATCAATAGGCATATAGAAATAAACAACATTTACAAACCATTCAAAAGAGAAAGAAAGGTACAAAGGAAACAAAAAGACCAGAACACCTCTTACCAGCAATCAATTACCCAATAAAAGGATTAACTCTGGATTAACACCAGACAAACAATCAAGGAGGATACAATATCTTAATTAAGAAACTATGAAACTAATCAAACAATCAAGCAGAAAACAGACTAAACAAAGAACTATGAAGCAGAAAACAATACCCCCACCATCATTGACAGTATATAAACACAGCAAACCCTACTCCCTTTTACACTGAAAATGATACTTAGCTGGAAATTAAGGAAACAAATAGGTTCAAAGAACACCAAGAAGGTATTACAGATTGAGACAAAGGAGCATCCAAGCCAGGGCATAGTCCATGTTAAAGGGAGGGATAATGAGCACCAGTCTTGCTCTCTTCAACCAGTAAAATAACGTTAAATGCTTCTAGATTTGAAGATGGGGAATGGGAGGGGTGGGGTATGTGGCGTAACTGAAAGTAATCAAAATGTTTCAAGCTTTTGTTTCATGGTTAGTCTGAATGCAGATAAAAATGATTTTCACTGGATAGAAACTACTCAGTGAACTAAAACAAAAAAAACCAATTAGTCCAATAACATTATGTGCTTTTGAATTATGTTCGTTTAATGTTCATTTACAAATTTATGATATAGAGTGTTAGATCAGGTAATGGATAGGCACACACAGGCTAATGGTAACAACAGCTCTTTATTAAATGCAACAAGTGAGAACAATCCAGCGAAGGTTGAGTTTGACAGCAGCCCTTTTATAGGGAGCTGTCAGACCCTTCGGCCAATGAGATTAAACCTCTGTTCCCACTGGAACAGAGGACCTTGGTGGAAACCACTATAGTTGAAGCTCGTATGTAACACTCCTCCCCTCTTAGATGGAACAATCCTACTGGTCACATAGTCACGCAGGTATCTTTTGGGTAGCTCTGCCTGACCTGCACAGTTCAGTCAGAGGGTGTTCTTTGAGCAGGTTGGATGGACCTGTTTGCTCCGCAACTCCGCTTTGTGGAAGCTCCTGGAACCTTTCACAGGCCGCGGCTGGAGCTTCTAGAGCTAGTTCGCTCAGAGCTCACTGCGGGCCTGCAACACAACCAGATAAGTTCCCCAGTGCCCTTGGGCTTGACCTGCCTGTGGAAGGAGTGGCGTATTTCTCCCTTTGGGTAGAGCTTTGGCTAACTCATGCAGGAGCTACTTCTGGTTGTCTAAGAGTGGAGTTGGAGAGGTGGCCACGGAGTTGGTCAACATGCCTTCTCCAATTCCGACCATCTTCAAGCTCTACAAGCTAAGAGCGAGGCCTGGTGATGCCTATCACTGTGGCAGGAATCCACAGAGTTCCCCCAGCGTAGTTGTGGGCGTAAACTGAATCCCTACGCTAAAGTTCTGAATTTTGCTTGTGGAGTCAGGGGGCGATGCGACAGAATAGTCTGAGTGTAGCCGGTCTAAGTGGGACATTAACCGGCAACCCATGAAAAGCTCGGAGGGGCTTCTCCCTGTAGTGGCACTGGGTGTGATATCTTGGATTAGCAGGTAATGGTCAACTCGTGTTTGCCAATCTCCCGGGCCCATCCTAGAGAGGGCCTCTTTTTCAGATCTCATCATTCTCTCCACCTGACCATTGGAGGCCAGATGGAATGGCGCGACCAGGGCATGTCTGATTCCCTGAGCTGCTAAGAAGGTCTCGAATTGCATGGCCGTGAATTGGGGCACATTGTCAGAGACCAAGACATCAGGCGGGCCTTGTGTGGAGAAAAGTCTCTGTAGTGCCTTGCTGACCGCTTCTGCCATAGTGGAGGTCATCAGGACTACCTCTAGCCATTTTGAGTAGGCGTCCACAACTACAAGGAACGTCTGGCCATGAACTGGCCCAGCAAAATCAATGTGCATCCTAGACCACAGTGCTTGAGGTCGCTCCCACTCCTTAGTGGGAGCCTCTGGGTGAGCTAGTCTGGACTCCTGGCATGGTGTGCAGGTAGCCACCCATTCTTCAATCTCCCTGTCCATGTTAGGCCACCACACGTAACTCCTAGCCAAAGACTTCATCCTGACAATTCCAGTCTGCCCTATGTGTAAAGCCTCTAATACTGCAATGTGCAATTTGGGTGGAACAATGACCCGGTCCCCCCACAGCAAACAGCCATTTACAACAGATAACAGGCAACGTCACTGGATGAGACAGGACCAGTCTCTAGGCAGTCAATGAGAAGGACTGGTGTCTCGGGGGTAGGGTCAGCAAGAAGTTCTAGCAGCGGGCAGCAGCTCAAGGCGTCGACATGCCCCAAAGTGGAGCCTGGTTGGTGGATGAGACGGTAGGAGTAGGCAGCAAGGAAGATGGTCCATTTGGTCATCCACGGTGATGACACAAGGGTAGGCCAGTCCCCAGCCAATAAGTCCAGTAGCAGTTTGTGGTCCGAAATGAGTTTGAAATCACAGCCATATAAGTACTCATGGAACCTTTTTACTCTGGTCACTGCAACCAAAGCCTCACAGTCCAGCTGGCTGTAGTTCTGCTCAGCAGTGGACAAGGTCCTAGAGTAAAAGGCTATTGGAGCCTCAGTTCCATTGGGCATGCAGTGGCTGAGGATGACTCCGATGCCAAACAGTGAAGTATCGCAGATGAACACCAGTGGCAGGGTCTGGCTGTACTGCACCAGGAAAGTGTCTGCCGAGAGAAGTCTTTTTACCACAGCAAATGCGGTGGCTTCGGCTCTGCCCCAGGACCACTTTGCATTCTTAGCCAGGAGACGGTGTAAGGGTTCAGCAATGGTGGCTTTCTGTTTAATATGCTGTAGAAATTAAGGAGCCCAAGGAATGCCTGTAGCTTCATTTGATTGCAAGGTGTAGGGGCATCCTGGATTGCTTTAATTTTTTTTTTTTTTTGAGATCAGGTGAATCCCAGAGTCGTCGATTAGGTACCCTAGGAATTCAACCCTTGGCACGTTAATTTAGCATTTTTCTTTCTTGAGAAGGAGGCTTTTGTCTCTAATTCGAGCCAAAACAGTTCGTACATGTTTGAATAATTGTGCCTCATTTACAGCTGATACCAAGATGTCATCGAAATAGGGGGCAACTCCTGGAATCCACTACAAAAGCCATTTCATGATGCCAGGGGCAATACTAACATCAAATTGCAGGCAGTGTTATTTGAATGTATCCCTGTGCATCACAATGGTTTGGGCCTCCGCCATAGCACCATCTACAGGCAATTGTTGGTATGCCTGCGCCATGTTCAATTTAGCCACTACTTTGCCCGGTCCTAATGAATGTAATAGGTGCTGTACAATTGGTACAGGTAAGCGCTTTGTTGTAACGCTTTATTGATTGTGCATTTGTAGTCCACACAGATGCTGACAGACCCATCAGATTTGACAGGTGTCATTATAGGGGTCTCCCAGCATGCGTGATAAATCAGCTCTAGGATTCCCTGGCCTACCAGCTTGTCAATTTCTAGATCTATTTTGGGGTGGAGAGCAAAAGGTACTCTCCTGGGCTTTAGCCTTATGAGGGCTATGGGGGTCCAAATTAAAGGAGATTGGAGTCCCCAAATACTTACACAGACCAGTGCTGAAGACGTCCTAAAACTCCTTAAAAATCGTTTCAGCACTTTTGTCTTTCAAGGCATTGATATCGGTCACTTCTAGGTCCAGGGCTTCAAACCAGTCAAGCCCCAGGAGGCTCTGCAGGTCGCCGCTCACCACAGTCACTGGGAGTTCGCAACTGTATTTCTTGAATTGCACCCGGAAGGTGCCCTGGCCCACGATGTGGACTCATTTCCTCTAGTAATCATGGAGGCAGATGTCAGGGGCTCATAGATGCTGCTTCTTCAGGCTAGGAATAGCCCGTTTGAGTGTAGACCATGGCATGATGGTCAGTGATGACCCCGTGTCGATCTCCATCTCACATGGAGAGCCCTTGATGAGGACTGTGACCTTCAGCTTTTTTGGTTGCGTAGTGCGGACTTGGCCGATTGAGGTGTGGTAAGTGACTCTGGCGTCACGCTGTGAGCACTGTGGTGGCTTCTGCCATGCCCCTTGGTTGGGCCTCTGCTGGCAGTTAGCTAGGCTTCTTGGTTGCCCGGTCGACGTGGGGTGCTCGCTTCTGCACATCTTGGCGATGTGCCCTTTTCGCTCGCAGCATTGGCAGGTAGCATCGCAGAAATGGCAAGCCGATCGGGGGTGGTCTCCTCTGCAGCTAGCACAAGGCGGGAATCATTGTTCGAATTTGCACGCCGGCTTGGCACAGCTACTGCGCATGCGGCAGCTGTCATCTTCTTCGCCTTCAGAGCTCTTGGCCTCTGCAGCCTCACGGTGAATGCATGTATTCTTCCACACATTTCGCGGAGTGTTTTGTCGCTGCAGTGTCTCTGTGGACTTGACGGCCGATTCTGACGCCCTGGCCTTGTCCAAGGCAATTGGTAGAGTGAGGTTAGACTTGGCAAGTAACCTCCTCTGTAAATTAATGTCCCGAACACCACAAATTATGTAGTCAAGAATAGTTCGTCTTTTGCAAGCTTAAAATTTTTGTTTGTTTTTGAAATTGTGCCATTCTCTCTAGCTAATAAACACACCTACTCTAGCTTGAAAGGTTAATAAAATTAAACATAGATTCACAAAAATGTTTGTTTTCACTTTTCTCTGGTTAAAGATATACTTCAAAGGGACAT